GCATGGGATTTAATGAGTTTAAAATAAAATAAAAAATCTCAAAATTCGTTTTAAAAAGATTAGTTCTGGCCATTCATTTTTTTTCTACGAAGAATTTAAAATATGCAAATTAATAATATTTTGTTTTTTAAAATGCAGCAAAAAATAAATACTTTGGAGCAAGAAATAAAAAAAAAAAGAAGACTAACGTTTTTGTAGTTAACGTATGTACTGGGCCAAAAAGCATAGCAATGGCAGTACAAACAAGGCATATCACATTGAAAGGCATACTGAAGTCAGGTACTGGCAATAATATGAGCAATGATTCACCGTACATTCGTACCAAACGTGAACTTTTTGCACCTGACAACCTAGAAATATACCTCATTTCATCGGTTCCTTATATAGGTCAGTATGCTAACTGAGAGAGCTGTGTGGCAAGAATGAAAGACAACAGATGGACAAACATGATTACAAGTATAACTCATCCCTTCGGCTCTTTATATAGGTCAGTAGGCTAACTGAGATTACTGAATGCGCTTAACGCAATGTTAAAAGAACACAGGGAAGGCCGTTAGTGAGGAGGAAGGATCCGACCGAACAAACATGTTGTGGATGAGCGAAGCCAAAAATGAAGAGGAAAAGAAAAATTGCCAGTTACATATTTATAGCGATATAAAAACTGCCATCAAGCTGTCAAAGTAAATATAGGCCAGCAGCGTAATTCAGAGAGAGTGCTTTTTATGGGTTCAGCACTACGTGACACACTCCCAACCCATTAATTCCTCGGTATTCCAACAACAAATTAAGAAAAAATAACTGGCCAATGCATGGGCTGCCCATGCGAAGATGCGTTTTTTGCATAGTCCCAGCAGATTTTTGTCGCTGATGGCACTGTTTTTTCCGCCAGATGTTTCTACTAAAAGGATTTCACACTGGCCGCCAGGACTGTCAGGAAACATTCCTTTAAAATTTCAGCTTTCTAGCTTTTCCGGTTCTCGAGTTAGCAGCATACACGAAAAAATCTTTCATGGGCCCGTACGTGGCAATGACTCAAACCCCGGGGGTTAGGTTTGAGCTCATTAATACCTACATGAGTGGGGAAAATACCCTTAAAATTACAGTTTCCTAGCTTCTCAGGTTTCCGAGTTGTCAACTTACCGAAAAAAATTTCGGCGAGCCCGTACGTGGGTACTACGCATACCAGAAGCCTGGGTTTGAGCTCGTTGAGACTTACGTGGACGGGGAACATCCCTTTAAAATTCAGCTTTCTAGCTTTTCTGGTTCGCGAATTAGCGACTTATCCGCAAAAAACTTTCACGGCCCAGACATGGGTACTATGCGGGTAAGGCCGCCCATTTTGGGGATGGGGGCCCGTACGCGCATGCAGATTAAGTTCCCAAAGTTTCAGCTCTGTAGATTTTGTAGGTCTCGAGATGAAAAATCGGTACAGGGGCCCAGCGCGCACGCAGATACACACGCACAGACACGCACACACAGACAACCTTTTGTCAATATGCGTTTTCTGCATTGCACAGCTGCAAAAAATGCATAAAAACGAACTCCTCGAATGCAGTAACGAGTGAACTTCCAAGCGCAGTACGATTTTTGTGCCACAAATCCGCGGTAGCAGAAAGTATTATGACTGGAGCCGGAATGTAGAATCCATGATTGGCATCCGGTGGATATTCATTCACCCTTAATAATTCATGTCATTATCCAGTAATTCGAAGATTAACGTGAACCAAAACGATTTAAAAAAAAAAATGAAACAGAAAAATGGCTTGTAAAAGCAATGGCTTACCTCAAGAAAGCTTTGTCAAATTCAAATGATAATTCACAGATCGAATATGCTGGTACCGTAACATTCCATTCAAGCAGAAATGGCCGCTGACGATCTTTCGCTGGCACAAAAACTTTTTCATTAACTTTGCCATTCGCATTTACGCCCTAAAATAATTTTTATCACTATTAAGTTCGACTCTTACTTATAGGTATTCTTATTATCGCATCAACGAATGTGATGGTGACAGGAGCCTTTCAAATTTTACAATGATTTTTAGTTATAATGATTTTTACAGTTATAATGATTTTTATAATTTTTATAATTATAATGATTTTATTTTTTCTATTTGATTTACCACACTGCATGTTACTAATACTTCTGCTGCAACCATCATACTGACGAGGTCCAATCGTAGCACTGAATGGGAATGTATGCGACTTAATGGACCGAAACATTCCAATCCAGTTTCCATTTTTATTTTTGTTTTTATTTTATATTTTTACGGTCTTTTCCGTAATCATAAAATAACTGAATTTAAATCACTATGCAACCTTTGTTGGGAGGAAAACGTTCCTATTCAACAGGGAGTTTTCAGCATGCAATCCTTGCAGTACATCACAGTTTGAACTTCTCGAACTATGCAGCTGCAATTTTTATGCGTTTTGTGTTGTGTAAGAGCAGTACAAAACGCATATCGTCACGGGGTTGTCTGTGTGTTTGTGTGTGTGTGTGTATCCGCAGCAACTTGTCCGTAACTTTCAACTCGGGAACCATGAAAACTAGGAAGCTGAAAATTTAGGGGAGCTCTCCCCCACCCACGTGTGACCCCGCAAATTTAAATTCAGCTTCCCCGTACCCGCGGGTAACGCGTACGACCCCCCCGCAACTTTCAACTCGGGAACCACAAAAGCTAGGAAGCTGAAAATTTAGGGGAACGTTCCCCACCTGTGTGACCCCGCAAATTTAAATTCAGCTTCCCCGTACCCGCGGGTAACACGTACGGCCCCGTGAAATTTTTTTACGGGCAAGTTAATATTTCGGGAACCACTGAGTCTAGGAGGCTGAAATTTTAGGAGAATGACCCCCTGTCAACGCCCAACCTTGCCCATTCAAATCCAGCGTTCCCGCGCTCATGAGTATCACCTACGGCCTCGTGAAATTTTTGGCGGTTAAACTATTAACTCGGGAATCACGGAAAGATACTACCTAAGGCTCGAAATTCAGCTTTCATGCGCTGGTGCGTGAAATTTTTAACTGTTTTCCAATGTTTGAACTATTTTTGTATAGACTAAAGTATAGAGCAGTGAAAATCATTAATAGGCAATCGTTCGATGGGTTGAATCGCACAAAACGCATCATCGCACCGGCTAGTCTGGTGCGCGTTGCTATTTATTCCAGTTGTTTTAGTCAATGCTTTGCAGTCTGATCATATCAGCTTCTACGTTAGTTTCATCTCTTGAAACCTAGCTAACCTAGCTCTTCAGAGAGCAGTTTTCTCGCCAAAACTTTTAATTGCCCGTACGCGAGAATCACGAACGCCTGGAAGCTGAGTTTGGACTCTTTAAGCTGTTCTTGATCAAGAAACATCCCCCCTAAAATTTTAGCTTTCCAGCTTTTCGGGTTCCAGAGTTAGTAATTTACCAGCCAAAATTTCCACATGCCTGCACTTAAGTACCACATGTACCTGGAGGCTGAATTTGAAATCTTTGAGATGTACTGCGGACAAGGAAGGGGAAATACGTCCTTAAGATTTCTGCCTTCTAGCTTTTTCGGTTACCGCGTTGAAAGTGGGTGACAAAAAGTGCGAACACAGAGACGGCCTCTTGTTAGTCTGCATTTTTACATCTACAGATGTACAAAAATGCATAAAAATTTGAGAAATTTTATACAAACCTCAGTTTGGCCGGAGCATATAAACTGAATTGTGTGATAGTATATTCTTATGAACCAGGGTACTACATGCGTATAGATGAGATCCTGTGCAACAGATTGACCGTTTCTCAAAACATTTACTATCCGACCGGACTGCTGACCCGTTCCCGCCAAATAAGTTCTAATTCTAAAAAAAATATCTCACGAAAGCTTTCAGATTCTCAAATTTCTTTAAAAAAGCAGCTATAAACTCTAATTTTTTGGATTACCAATAAGCTCCTATGGTAAAAGATATCTCATCGTCGTCCAAGAATGGCAACTTTCCGGAGACAGTGATATTTTCAACACATACCAAGAATACCTCAAACTATTAAGACTTTGCCAAGTGCTTGTGTAGGAAGACCCACCGGACTGGCAATTTCTTCAGGGTGCGAAGCAAACGTCAGAATCATTAGCTGGCTGACTAACAAACAAAAACTGTCCAGCGCACCGACTATCAGATCGAAGATGCGTTTTTTTTGCACGGTCCCCTGCAGGCCCACTAAAATTTCTCACGGGCCTGTATGTGAGAACCATGTGAGCAAGTGTATCCATTTTCTGGGGAGGGGGGAGGGAGGGGCGTAAATGTATGCAGATCAAATTCTCAAAGTTTCGGCTTTGTAGCTTTTGTAGATCTCGAGATAAGAAATCGGTA